ACAGTCTGCCCCTGGCCTTGTTTTCCCTGGTGATATGGAGCTTTTCTATCTTCTCTTTCCACAGATGTAGTCAATTTGATTTCTATGTGTTCCATCTGGCAAGGTCCATGTGTATAGTCATCTGTTATGCTGTCTAAAGAAGGTATTTGAAATAAACAAATCATTAGTTTTGCAATTTTAAATATTAGATATTAGAAAAGAGTTTGTTCTGAGTCTAAAACAAAGATTTTGGGGTGAGATAGTTCAGCAGTCTAACCCTCTAGCAGTATAAAAGCTCATATGTACTCTCAATTCTGCAACTCATCTGTTCTCACTATTTCCCTACAAATAGCGCAGTGGTTACAAATCGGGCTGCGAACCGCAAGGTCAGCAGTTCAAAACTACAAGCTGTTCCGCAGGAGTAAGATGAGGCTTTCTGTTCCCATAAAGATTTACAGCTTCGGAAACCCTGTACAGGGTCGCTATGAGTCAGAACTGACTCTACTACACGTAGCAGCAGCAGCAACAACAACAACAACAACAAATTTTTGCTGTATATATGTGATTATAATTTAATTTTAGTGAGTGTTAAGATAAAGTTTAGCATTCTGATTTTATTTTCTTCATATTACTTTGACCAAAATGAACATCACTATTTATACCATCTTTCCCATGCTGATGCCTTGATTTTAGATTCCTGGAGCTGGAATTATTTAATCAAAATTTATGTCATTTTTTAATTAACTGTCTTTCAGAATGAGATTTACCATTTCTGCTGCCCACAGCAATGTATGACAGTCAGCCAGCTTCACTCATTGTATTTAATTAGCATTTAACCTTTGGGGGCTATTGTTACAAATTTAATGACTATCAATTATACTTCCATGATTAAATATCTGCATTTCTTGAATGGAATTACTCATTCACATAACAAATATTTATTGAGTGCCAGCTATGTGTCAGGTACTCTGCTAGATTTTGAGGACAAACAATGCTTTGTTTTTAATCTTGGGACTAAACAGCTGCTAGAGGGAGTTTTTTGATGTTGTATAATCATAATTGTTATCCATTTACCTAACATTTTGAAACTGTTCTTTCCAATTTACGTGAATTCTTTTACATAATAGATAACTCTTGCTTTATTTTTTATAAATGTTTACTCAATGTGACATTCGTTTTTATTTTAGTTGTGTAAATTTTATAATACAGAAATTTAAATTTTTCATCTTTTAAAAACTCTGTTTTTTCTACTGCTTCAATATTTATAAGGCCATAAGCTATATAAAAATTCAATATACCCTTAGTTTATTTCCATATGTTTTTCAAAATTAAAAAGTAAACAACTAATTTAACTATCTGACATTTATATTTAAGTCATTAATGTAATTTGTAGATCTCTACTGGACCTCACGGTGGGTTTGAACTGCAAAATATGTGCTTCAAATTCATCAGCTGCTCCTCAGAAACCCTATTCAGGGTCACTGTTAGTCCAAACCCACCTGACAGCAATTAACAAAAACAACAATGTCGTAGGATGTGGCGCTGTAGGATAAGCCTTTGACTGCTAGCCATGAGTTTGGTGGTTCAAATTCAACAGCCACTCCTCAGAAACCCTATACAGGGTCACTGTTGGTTGGAACCAACTCGACGGCACTTAACAACAACAACAACTGACCATAAGGTCATCGGTTCAATCTACCAGCAGATCCTCAGAAAGCCTATACAGGGTCTCTGTGAGTGAGAACCAACTCAGCAGCACTTAATAACAATAATCACATATTAAGCTCATATGTAATTTTGATCTGTTTCTAGGTTTTTATTATTTTCCAATGATCTCCATAAAACGGGCACTAGACTGGGACCCACAGGATTGGCAGTTCAAGCCCATCAGCTGTTCCTCAGATGAAAGATGAGACTTTCTGCTTTTACAAAGATTTTTAAAACCTCAGAAGTCCTAGGCAGGGTCGCTGTGGGTCAGAACCCACTTCACGGCATTTAACAAAAACAAAAAGAACATATATATTATACCTGATACCCATAACGCCATCTTTTGATGTATATTGCTCTAGGGCCTATTTTTTAAATATACAAACCAGATTTCTAACATTGTTCTTTTTTTTTTTTTGTCAGCCTTGTTTGTTTTTGTTGTTAGGTGGAGTCTAGTCAATTCTGGCTCATAGTGACCCTATACACAACAATGGAACACTAGCCAGTCCTGAACCATCCTCACAATTACTGCTATACTTGTGCCTCTTGCTGCTGCAACTATGTCAAGCCATCTCTTTGACGGTCTTCCATTTTCTCGCTGACCCTTCACTTTGTGGTGGTGGTGGTAGTTATGTGCCATGGAGTCGCTTCTGACTCACCCACCCTGTACAGGGTTTCCTTCGGGAGCAGAAATCCTCATCTTTTTCCCTTGGAAGGATTGATAGATTCAAACTGCTGACCTTGAGTTTAGCAGCCC